ATGTGTTTATGTGGTTTAAGGTTCGAAAAACACATTATTTTCCACATACTGTACATTATTGTTTCTCCTCTATGCCCCGCCTTTCTGAAACGTGTAGATTTTGACAAAGCTCAAAGCGAGGTGTGCTCTGATTGGCCAGCTATCCAGTGCGTTGTGATTGGCCGAATACCTCAAGCGTGTGACGGAAATGTTACGCCCCTTACTATGCTGTGATGCCTTGTCCCGGCACGACGAGACAAAAACATTAAAACCCATTATAACGAGGCATTTGTTGCATCCAGTGGGGACATAATTACGGATTATAATGACTTATAATACTGTCTTTTTACACGTTGTGTTGCATCGCGCCGTGTAAACATAAAACCATGTTTGCATTTGTGATCGGAGAAATGACAAACAAAAAGCGCTACTCTACACTGCTCAAAACTCGCGTTTATTCGTCAATGGCAAATTCATTAAATATAAAAAACGTACTTACAGTCTGTGAGTCAGTACAGGTGGCATTGTAGTCTACTCTACCAGGATCAGGAAACAGTCCTCCATAAAATGCGCTGCACACATCTGAATATTTGGATTAAACTGTTCTGGAACAGTGTTGGTAAGTACAACTTAACCACTGATTTCTAGTCCTGTCCTCTTTTGGAAGGCCAACTTTTTGATACCATATGTGTTACGCCGTGTGTAACACACAGCGTCACACACGGCGGGCTAGATTGAGCGGAGGCCGGCATGAGTGAGCGGTGGCGGGCGGGCAGGCTTGAGAACGACGTCTCAAAGAAGTTAAATGCAAAAACGCATTCTGTGTGAACAGCCCCTAGACACAAAGCAACAGAATAAACAAAATGGGCAGTAAAATGGGGAGAAAAAAACATGTTTTTGCATTCCACTGTGCAGATTTTTCAATGTGTTTGACTGTTACACACGCATCTCTCACACAACAGTGTTGTAAAAACAAGGCGCTCAAGTTAAAAGTAGTTCAACGTGTTTCTATACCTTGCGGGTTTTTTTTTTTTATTTATTCCAATACTCTTACTCAGATTTTTAAATGCAAATCACCCCTAAATGTATATAACCAATACGAGTGCAAAAAATAGACTGAGTGGGACATAGTGGATGACCAGTTACAAAACAAAAATCAAAGAGACTGAGAAATTTACTGTACCTGAATATTCTGAGAGGTTATGCCAGCCGAGACAAACAACCCGGAAAGGTACAAGTTTCCATACTAGCTTGCTACAAAGTACAAGTATTGAAATAGCATCATTGGAAATATATTGACTTATGAGTTTTAACTTGCCGACTTTGTAATTGTTTACAGAGAAAAACTGGGCATGATGCATTTTAGGATCACACAATAGACTTTCATGTCCCTCCTAACACAACAAACTGACACAGAAACACATGCCTCGTCGCTAGGAAATGCATGAGAAAACTAAAAAATCTATTTGAGTTCTAAAAAACATGTTTTATATACTCAGACTGGATGGAATCATAGTCTGCAGCTTTTAAAAAACAGATTCATATGTCCATCTTCTGTGCCCATCCAGTCTTTGCTAACCATGCCAATATGAACTGAATCGCATGATGGTTGAAAGATACTAACATAGAAAGATCAATTCCAATGCCCAGCGTTCACAAAATTCAACACATTCCCCAAAATGTGCAAACTCTTTTATTTATCCTTATTATAATTGCATTTCGAAGAGTTTTGCATAAACTCCTCAAAGCTCTGCTTAACACATTTTATCATATTTCCCCCGTACCGTCAACAGAGAAACTATTACTAACAGCGGCCTAGTTATAACTTTGCTTTATAATGTTATCCTTTACTCACCATCATGTCATGTCAAACCTATATGACTTTCTTCTGTGCAACACAAAAGGAAATCTGGTTGGGTGAATTCAGTTCATCTGACAGTTAAATGTGTGGATCTGTAATATGAAGAATATAAAAACGGTTAGTCATAAATCCATGACCTTGAAGATGGCTGCAATAGTGGCTCCTTATGAATGAACCCTATACACACATGCACAAATCTATCAATCTCAGCTGGCGATTGGTCGGCATAATCATCTGTCACTGTCTTAATGGCCTCTCCCTCACGTCAAGATGATGAAAGTGCTGGGTTGATGAGGGATCGCTTGGGAAAGAGTGTGTGAGGCTTTGGCTCGGTTTCCCCCCTCATTAACCGCAGTGATGGTCTGACAGACAGCTGTCGAGATGAGCAGTTGACTAGTATCTGTAGAAGAAGAACGGCTGGGTGGAAGAACGACAAAGAAAAGATTGAGAGAGCGGGGAAAGAGCAATGAGAGACACAGCAGATGAAATCAGCCAGAGAAAGATTGAATAAGCTACTGACATGCGGCTGTATGTCATTAGCTTCACAAAAAGATCTATGAAAGTTCGGGTCAAACTCAACCGACTAATCCCAGAGGCTGATCTTTCATAACTCACTGACTTAATCGAGTTCTCAATCATCTTTCATTCAAGTATGAAATGTCTCAATGTTCTCTAAGCTAGATTTGTTTTGGGGGTGTGCTCTGACTGGGTTTTGTAGTGTGTTGCTAAGTGGTTGTGGTTGTTTACTCTGCAAGTCCAAAGAATGCATCTGAATGGTATTCTGAATGAGATCTACACTTTCCACAAAGAACCTTTAACATCTATGAAACCTTTTTTAATTGCACAAAAGGATATTTATAATGAAAACTGTTCATCAGATTATTAAAATATTCTTACACTAAAGGCATCTTAACACAGCTGAGTTAAAGCATCTATATGCCTGCTCAAAATGATGTGTAAAGATATAGTACAGCATAAAAGCCAGACTAAATTAAGCCAGCTCTGACTCAGCTCCTCATATCAAATGCTGTGTAAATGCATGTATGCCACCTCTGAGCAATATTAAACAGTCTGTCTAAAGACACCTAAATTCCACTTCAGAAGCGCCTCTGTGCCACCTTTGCCGTGTAAATTTGGTATAAGAAAAAAAATGTTCACTAGAAGGCTCTTCTTGCTATGGAATTGCTGTGGGGAACAAATCCTTTTGAAACCTTTATGTCTAAAGGCCCGTTTACACCAAGCGCGATAACTATAATGATAACGATAAAGATATAGTTCTAAAAATCGTTCTCAATATTAAAGAATAGCTAAGCCCACACCACAACTATAACGATAAAGGCACAGAGAAACGATATCGTTGGAATCACTTTCAAAACGATTTTTTTTCCAGCTGATGAACGATACAAACTTTGACAGCCAATCAGAATCCATCGTGCTATAACGAGCTGGGGAATTTAAAGCGACAGATGCATGTGTGTTTAGCCAAAATAAATAAACATTTAATAAAAGTTGATTTGTATAAAATGTACATGTAACTGCAAATGTTGATCAGTTTGAAATTTTTACACCTGTTCATCATCCATCAGGCAAAAAGCATCCTCAACAATTTAGAGAACATTTTTGAGAAACTGGAGACGTGAAATTAGAAGTCTTTTTCCTATGAATGCCCGTTTCCGCCACTGGATAACAAATCATTTTAAAAAAGGTAATTGCGAGTTTTAATCTCACAATTCTGACTTCTTTCTCACAATTGTGAGTATACATCTCAGAAATTAGACTTTTTTTTCTGAATTTCGTGATAAAGAAATAAAGTCAGAATTGCGAGATAAAAACTTTTTCTTGCAATTCCAAGTTTTCAGAGCAAGGAAAAGTCAGAATTGCGAGTTTAGATCTCACAATTCTGAGTTTTTTTCTCACAACTGCGAGTTTCTATCATGCAATACTGACTTTATAACCCACAGAGTTTATATCATGCAATTTTGAGAAAATTGGTAACACTTTACTGGTGCCCCCTCAGTCGTGGTGGGAGAAGGTGGGAGAGAGTGCTGTACATTCACTCCCCCCACCTACAATCCCTGCCGGTACGAGACTCGAACCCACAACCTTTGGGTTATGAGTCCGACTCTCTAACCATTAGGCCACGACTTCCCCCTAATACTAGCTTGCTCTATTCTTTTTCTATTCTATCCGTTTTCTTTTTATTTATTATATAATTTTAAAAAACTATGTGTATACGTTAGGCTAACTGAGACTTGTTATAGCACTTGCGTATCATTGCTCTTTTGTTGATTTTGATTGCTTCCATTGTCCTCATTTGTAAGTTGCTTTGGATAAAAGCGTCTGCTAAATGACTAAATGTAAATGTAAATACAACATAGTTCAAAGGTTTAGGGTTGGAAATACATTTTTTTATGTTTTGGAAAGAAGTCTCTTAAGGCTATATTTATTTGATCAAAAATACAGAAAACAATATTGTCAAATATTACTAGAAATTTTATATGTTTTTCTATTTTATTCCTGTGACACAAAGCTAAATTTTCAGCATCATTACTCCAAGTCTTCAGTGTCACATGATCCTTCAGAAATAATTCTAATATGCTGATTTTCTGCTCAAGAAACATTTCTTTTAATTATTAATTATCAATGTTGACTGTCAAAAAGTGATAAAAAGCTGATCGATTTGATGCATCTGTCTTTAGAATGGTAGTGTAAGCATTTGCAACTTTTAACTTTCAGTGCATTATAAGTACACATTAGCCAGCAGAGCATTCAGCTTGAAAAGCTGAATAACTTTGGGATTTAAAGTCTCTAAAATGTCCTACCTGTCATCTCTGAGCCTTCAACCACAGGGTCAAATGTTCCCTGACATTCAAGAAAAGCATAGGCTTCTAAAAATGCTAGAAAATAAATGTCAGTTTAAAGCTTTTTCATCTGGCAGGTATGCTTATCCAAAGCGACTTACAATGCATTTAAGGTATACATTTTATCAGTATGTGAATTCCCATCCTGCTTTATCAACTGAGCAGCAGGTCTGTACTCATTGCTATCAAAAATACTACTCTGTTTTGTCCAGACTTCATCAGTGTGCAGTTCACTGCATGAGTACAGCGCGTTTCTCTTTATGTGCCTTCTCCTTGCAAGTGTGTTTTGTTCTTATTACCAGTAAAGGCCATCACTTCATTCCTGAGCCTCTCATCTGCCTCTGCCGGCAGTGAGACGTGAAGAGGCACTTTTGACACCTCTTCCCCATCTGTGCTCCCACACAAAAGCCTCCTGAACAAGTTCTCTTCAGATTCCATTTGCTCTCAGCCTGTTTATCTCCCCGATCACCCGCCATCCAGGGGAAACCCTGCTCTTATCTGAGCAAAGAGACAGACAAAAAAAACATGTGTGCTCTGAGAGAAAGAGACAGAGAAGGAAAAGTAGTCTCAGATCTCGTTACCGCTACGCAGAAGTGAGGAAGACAGGCGGCTGAAATATATATCTCTTGACGTCTCACTAATGGACTCCCTCCTCTTTTGTTTCACTACTATCATTCAGCTTTGCTCTGCGGGACCAGAAGCTTGCCAGACTCGCGAGCTGAGCGTTTACTGTGAAAATGCAAACCGCTGCATGTATTATACCTGAGCTAGTGATCTTCTATGGCTTCTAACCTTTACAGTCTGCGGTTTTCACATGTGATGTGTTTCTATGTGAAATCTCTGGACAAGATGGCACATACAGGGATTAAAGCAGCCCAAAACAATCAGGCATGGCACCTTTCAAAATCAAAATCAAATCAAATTATAAAAAAGTCTTAAAGGGGTCATATGATGCGATTTCAATTCTTCCTTTCTCTTTGGAGTGTTACAAGCTCTTGGTGCATAAAGAAGATCTGTAAAGTTGCAAAGACTAAAGTCTCAAATCCAAAGAGATATTCTTTATAAAAGTTAAGAGTTAACCACGCCTACCTAAAACAACTCGCACATATCTAGGCCACAATGTGTGACGCTGTGTGTTTCGTTGTGAAAGAGAAACTACTTTGTTTGGCCTTCCAAAAGAGGACACGACTAGAAATCAGTGGTTAAGTTGTATTTACAACACTGTTCCAGAACACTTCAACCCAAATATTCAGATGTGTGCAACGCATTTTATCTAACACACCCCCACATATCTACGTCACGATGTGGGAAGATTTGCATAACGCCACCCAAATGTTCACGCAAAGAAAGAAGGCGCAACTTTTATTCTCACTGTAGTTTTGTTGTTGCCACCACCATGTCGTGAAGGCGCTGTGTGTTTCGTTGTGAAAGTGAAACTACTTTGTTTGGGCTTCCAAAAGAGGACGCTATTCACTTCGTCATGCCTGGAGCTGATCCGTGCTGGTTGCTGAGGAAATACATCAACTTCACGCTGTGGATCACTGGATCGGCTTTCAGCCCGGGGTCGTCACATGTGGTTGCCGCAAGCCCGCCGGCCGCTCCTTCGTCAAATTCGCCAGTCGCCGCCTCCGCTCACTCTAGCCACCGGCCTCCGCTCACCGTTTCAGAAAGGCGGGGCATAGAGGAGAAACAATAATGTACAGTATGTGGAAAATAATGTGTTTTTTTAACCTTAAACTGCATAAACACATTTCATTACACCAAATACACAAAATAAGGTTATTTTTAGCAACATCACATGACCCCTTTAAACAAGTGTACCTGCTCAAAAATATAGATTTTTTTTTATTAAAATGGAAAAAATAAATAATAAAATAAAAAATAATATTAAAATAAAAGATAAATAAATAAAATTGTCCAAAAAAGCAGGCCAAAACAATCCAAAATGGCACTTTTAAAATAAAATAAAATAATAACATAAAAATAAAAATAATTTAAAATTGTAAAATTAAATAATAAAAAAAGAATAAGATAAAAATAATAATAAAATAAAAAACTAAAAGTTTGTCTTAAACAAGTGTACTTGCTCAAAAAATAAATAAATAAATAAACAAATAAATTACTTCACATTAAAAATGTAAATAATAGCATTTAAAATTATATTAATAATAAAATTTAAATAAAAGTTCCCAAAAAAGCAGGTCAAAAATCTTACCTTAAAGTACCTTAAAATAAAAATGATAAAAAAAAATACGATTTAAAAAATATAAAAACATTTTTTTTTAATAATTAATAATAATAAAATGTAAAAAAAAAAAATTATAATAATAAAATAAAAATAGGGTACTTGTGCAAAACAAAAAGTTTTCAATTTGAGCGTCAGTCATTCAAAACCTGCAAGAATCAATGAAAGCATATAAACACACTTTTTGTGTTTGTTTTCCAGCAAACATATCCGTTCTTGGCTACAAATAGCACACTGTGGACTGTGAATATAGTCAAAAGTCCAGCTATGACAGAGAATCTGGTATGTTTAGGAAAGATTTCATACACCTTTTCACAAACAAAGCTCCATTTTACGCCTAATTGGTAGAAATCATAGACAGCAATCCTAAAATGACAACTCCATTAGCAACTGCAGTGCAGCAAAGGTTATGTTTACTGGCAATCAAACAGCAAATAAAAATGTGAATCAGCAAACCAATGTTAACGACTTAATAAAGAGCCGTAAGTGCTTTCTGAATTAATTTGCATAAAAAGGGGCAAATGAGGATGGCTTAAATGGTCCAATCATATTATCTTTACACTTACTATAATCTACATCCCTCAGGGGTAATAGACCAGTTGACTTACAAACCACCTCTATGAATTTACACAGTTCACCTTCTTTTTAGTTCATAAACAAAGAAAAACTTGTTTACTGTACAGTAATACATTTATAAGGGAAGTCTATGAGGTGATCATGCCAGAGGCTTTCAAAGTAGAAATAGTGAGCATGTGCTTATATTTAAAGCATTTCATATTATTTTTGTTTTCAAAGAGGGTAGACTATTGGTTATGCTTTACAACTGTAATTCCTATAGGGAAAAACAGAACTTAGCTCCATGTAAGCTCCATGTTTTAAAGTTGCCGACGTAATTTATGTCGTAAAATAAAATGTGAAAATATCTTGAGCTTGTGTTACCACAGACTTATTTCAGGCATTTAAGGATGCAGTATGTAATATTAACAGCTAGCGTAAGTCCAAATTCAAAATATTGGAAAGTTTGTCCGGCCCCCTCCTCCTCAGATTTGATTCTCACATGGGTTGCCAGATTGAGGACGCGCAACAGGAATGAACGCATGGAAATCAAAGAGCCATACACTGTTGATGAGCTGATTTATCTGTGTTTTAATATAATTTTATTTTCATTTTCTGTGAAGCTGCTTTGCAACGATTTGTATAGTGAAAAGTGGCATACAAATAAATGTGAATTGAAATTTAATATTCTTCTGGTCATACAACGTTTTAGATGGATGCTAAGGCTTTTTAGGTCGTGTACAGTCTGTGATCTAGTTCATTTACTGGCTTCCGTGGTTGCAGTATGCTGTGTTTTCCATCAACTGGCAACCTGGCGTGTCGAAAAAATTGGGTAAACTGGCAGTGGGTGGAGTCACACACATCAAAACAAAAACCGACATTCCGACACGGAACACACATTTCAAAATCGAATAACTTGCTGTAGCACTGTTTTTCAGAGAAACAAGTATGTAAACGTAGCATGTTTCCTAAATATCTGCAGTTTTTATGGTTTAGTATGGTAAAAAATTACATACAATTCCTTTAACCAAAAACCCATTTTGGTACGATAGAACTGGAAGCAAAAACAGGTTTACAAAAACAACATGTCATCACTATGCTAGAAGACAAGAGAGATGATTTCCACAGGTATGCCATTAAAAAAAACACAAGCAACTATACAACTGGGCTAAAGGAACAACTCAACCAATATGAAACCTGCAGCCCCTTTGACGAATATCGTCCCAAATAAACTCACAGCTTCTACCTCACTCTCTACTAAGCATCTCCAACGGAGTGTGTTTGACCTCAAATCCCCAGAAATATAATTTTATTTTCATTTTCTGTGAAGCTGCTTTGCAACGATTTGTATAGTGAAAAGTGGCATACAAATAAATGTGAATTGAAATTTAATATTCTTCTGGTCATACAACGTTTTAGATGGATGCTAAGGCTTTTTAGGTTGTGTACAGTCTGTGATCTAGTTCATTTACTGGCTTCCATGGTTGCAGTATGCTGTGTTTTCCATCAACTTGCAACCTGGCGTGTCGAAATACAATTGGGTAAACTGGCACTGGGCGGAGTCACACACATCAAAACAAAAACCGACATTCCGACACGGAACACACATTTCAAAATCGAATAACTTGCTGTAGCACTGTTTTTCAGAGAAACAAGTATGTAAACGTAGCATGTTTCCTAAATATCTGCAGTTTTTATGGTTTAGTATGGTAAAAAATTACATACAATTCCTTTAACCAAAAACCCATTTTGGTACGATAGAACTGGAAGCAAAAACAGGTTTACAAAAACAACATGTCATCACTATGCTAGAAGACAAGAGAGATGATTTCCACAGGTATGCCATTAAAAAAAACACAAGCAACTATACAACTGGGCTAAAGGAACAACTCAACCAATATGAAACCCGCAGCCCCTTTGATGAATATCGTCCCAAATAAACTCACAGCTTCTACCTCACTCTCTACTAAGTGTTTGACTTGTGTTTGACCTCAAATCCCCAGAACGCTACTGTACATACATATATATGACATTTCACATGAACATTTAATGAAGACATAAACATTCACGCCATTGCATTATACATGCATTAGGATTTCCATATGAACACTGTGTGTTTTAAACAGAATACTAATATGTGTAAACCCCATGAAAGCTCGGAAGAATTTTACATTAAAATGACATTGGGATCTGCTGCAGAAATAGAATTGTTCATATACATTTAATTTTCCCGTAGTGCATCTGTGTGCAAAGGATAAAATATTCTGTTCCTGTTTGATCATATGCAAGACTAAGTTCCTGGGAGTTGGATCTGCTGCAGAAATAGAATTGTTCATATACATTTAATTTTCCTGTAGTGCATCTGTGTGCAAAGGATAAAATATTCTGTTCCTGTTTGATCATATGCAAGACTAAGTTCCTGGGAGTTTGTTTGTGTGTGTGTGTGTGTGTGTGCATGTTTATGTGGTTTATGAGGACACAAATTTGTATAATAACATGGGTATGACATAGGTATTACAACGAGAAGGTGATTTATGAGGACATTTTCAGTGTCCCCGTAATTCAAAAGGCTTATAAATAATTCAGAATTAGTTTTTTTGAAAATCTAAAAATGCAGAAAGTTTCCTGTGAGGGGTAG